TAGAGCCCCCCGCTGGAGTTCCCTAGCTCCTAGCCTGGGACTGGCTCCCACTCACTGCCAAGGCTGCGCCTGCCTCCAGGGGTTGCAGTGGCTGTGCGGAACCCTCCCCGCCCCTCCCGGGTCGCAGGCTCCAGGAGCGCGAGCCAGGTGCAGTCCCTCTCTCCTTCCCCTCCAGTAATCAGGGCCGAGCAGAGCTGGGGCTTGCTGCCTTTTAGAGAACACCATTCTGAACAAGAAAGTAAATAAAAAACAAAAAGCAAGCAAGCTACACTACGGCAGGGACCCTGCATGCCCGCAGCCCCAGGGAGGCGGGACAGTTGTGAGCCGGGCACAATGACCTCCTTGTGCAGAAGGGCTGAGGTTTGGGACAGAAGACCAATTCCTGTAGGAACTGAGCTGATGGTACTTCCTGAACTCCTGGAGGGACAGTGGCTCCTGGAGAACTCCGGCCCTGCACACCTTGCACCTTTAGCCAAGCAGACCGCAGTCCTCAGCCTCCGAGGCCCGGAACCTCACCTGTAGCTCCAAAAGAGCGAATGGAATGGAATTGCAGTTTGCCGGCAGAAACAAGGAAATGGGGCACCAGGCTCCGGACCTCGGTTAAGGCGCTGAGCAGTCATGGTCCCCATTTTGCAGCTCGCAGAGGGTGGAGCGAGGTTCGGATAAACGCCAAGGCCGAGCCAAGGCTATGTGTACGGAATGCTGATTAGTCCCACCAGACGGCCCCGACTCCTACATGTCACTGCTCTGCAGAACTCTTAATGAATCTTGAGGTCTGGTCAAACATGGTTTTGGGGTTTCACTCTTTTTTCCTGGAGACATTAATTGCCACATATTCTACTTGACCAGCTACGGGAAAGACACAAATAAATAAATGGCAGAGAATAAATATATGCACGAAGTAAAGGCACTGCCTGCGGACCCATAGCCGAAACCAGCTTCTCTGCCCAGGGGCCTCTGAATGCTCATGGTGGTGACAAGCCAGCCGGTGGCCTAAGTCTAAGCGGCCCAGGAGCAGACCGGCGGGTTATGTAATAGCTCATCCTCCCAAACTGTACACTAGGTTGAGAAATCCTCTAGCAGGACCTCAGCACCCTACACAGCACAGCTGTCTCAGCACCAGGGGCTTCAGGGAGCGGCTGGGGGGTCCGGATGATGCCACCTCACTTCCGAGGTGAGACGGACCAGTGCTCCGGGCGCTTGGGATTTGAACTGAGATCCCGTAGTTGTCTCCAGACCACATCTGACGGGGGAGATATCTCTGGGCTTTCCAGGCTCACTTTGTGACTTACTGTTAAGAATGAATGGCCCAGGGGACCAGCAGTTGGAGTAATGGCTATGTCGCTGGACTCCCATGTAGTTGACTGCAGTTCAAGTCCCAGACCCGTTGGCTTAAACTCACACTGGGCGCATGTGCATGTGTGTCCAAGATCCCGAGAGGAGAATGGAAGAGAAGGGATTGCGGCATGGCCATCCCCCCCGGGGGTGATTCCTCACTTTTTGTCTCTATCTCTTTCTGGTGAGCGCACACGTACTGTAGCAAAAACCTCTCCAAAAAAAAAAAAAAAAAAAAAGGCAGAATGGCCCAGTTCCTGTAAGCAATAGCATGTTATGGGTCAGCTGCTGTGGCTGGGACACCTTCTCTGTGGGCCGTAGAGCCTGTCACTGCTGCCAGTACCGTGCAAAAGCACACCACAGTCTGTGATAAAAACTGCAGAGACAGGTGTCACGTCTGACAGTGTTTTTAAAATGTTATACTTTAAACAAAGAATCAAAAGAGAGCTGTTGTAAGTCAAACACAAACTTGTATTGACATGGGGAGGGAGTAGGTGACACCGATGGGTTACAACAAAACTTGCTATTCAATTAGGTGTGAGTTAATAGGTAATAATAGAGGTAGTGTAGATACCCCTCATCATAGGTTTATGTGGGGACTCATAAAGAAATCCACGGATAATCCACAAATCCAGTCATTTCCCACTTTCCAGCCTCTTTACAAGTAGCTTATTTATCCACTAGTTCCTTCCACATGACAGGAAGGATTTCAGAAAAACGGAGGGAAACGTAGGCTGTCAACACACAGCAATAAGGCTCTAGGGAGCTGATCGTCCGCAAGGCACACCTGCAATTTTCCCTCGGTTCTAGTACGATCACTCGATGGAGGCCTGACTAGAGGCAAGAAGGAGTTAAAACACTCCCCTCCCCATTTCTGGAAGCCCAGATGATGAAGCGAGTAAATATGAAATCCATTCATGGTGCCTCTGACCTTGGTCTGCGCAGAGGAAAGGCGTGTCGTCGCACTGTGTTCCACGAACAAAGGCAGGCGGGCGAGGGTGACTCAGGGCTCCTGGGGGCCTACACACATTTTTCTGAATGATTCCACATACACACTTAGGAATCAGGAAGAAAAACATTTTACCCTTCACTAACCAAATAAAACCATCTATAAATCATATGCAAAACAACTTTGAGCAACGAGGGACTTAAGTCTAGGAATTAAAAGTAATTCCATATTTTCCTTCCAGCTTTCCCCTTGGGGAATGGACAATGACACCCACACAGAGAGTTGTGTTCTGTTCCGTTTTAACTGAAAACCGAATGTAATCACTAGCTTATCTCTGGGAGGTGCTTCTGAAATTCTGAAAATGACTTCTGCAAGCTGCACTAGTTTTAAACTTCACCAGAAATGAAATTTAGCATTTTTAAGTTAGAAAACAAAAACTGTTTAAGCTGTTTCTTTTCACCTAATTACTAAATGAAAGACTTGTATCATCAATAACTTACAAGTACAGTTTCTTAAAAACTGTTTTAAACGGCCTGGTAATGAAAAAATTAGTGAAAAATAGAGGGAGCCCCCAAGTGAAAATGCAGTCAAGCGCACACTCAGTCGCTGAACTTGCACACACAGTCAGTCCAGGTATATCCTAGCCTCAGACTCAAGTTTCACAACTTCCTCTCACAAAGCCTGCCAAGCCATCGATCAATAAAAGGAGCACGAGCTGCAACATCGAGGGAACTCCTCACTACGCAGTGCACTTAAACGCGGCATCTCGGTGCGCCTAGCTCAGTGCTCGTTGGCCTCTCATGGCTATTTATAAACACAGTCCTGGGATGTCAACAAAGCACACACGGTTTTGGACTCGCTTCATTCCGAAGCTTCCAGAGTGCAGGCCTTTTTGTTTTGTTCCCCCTGGGTCTTCAGCGCACGTCCTAGGGCCCAACATGGCTGTTCCACTCCAAAGCCCTGCCAAGGGCAGCTCCAGGCCCGGGGTCTTTGCAGGGTGCCAGCATCTGCTCCCTTCGCCTACCCTTGGGCACAGCAAGCAAGGGAGTGCTGGCTCCGTCTCTCCCCTCTCCAGGGGCCTTTTCCCCAGTCCCTGGCACTTCTTGTTTCTACTATTGGGTGCCTTTTTGTCCCATCTTTTCTGACCTGTCCTGCTCCTGCAGGCCCAGTCCAGTCCCGGCGCAACCCCAGGTGGTCCTTCAGTCACGCTGCCATTAGTGGTTAAAACAGCCATTCTCAACTTGAAAAAAAAAAAAAACTCAGAAAATGTTCAGTGCTCCCAATTTTATTTTTATTTAATGCTAAAAGTTAAAGAAAAAAGGTACTGTAAATCTGACAAATGACAGACTGCAGGTGGTTTCCATAGCATGACTTGAAAATGTAGTGTTGATAATCTGAGCTACACCCCCTTCAGCTGGCTGACACAAGTTTCATCACAGATAGAAAAAGTATCACCTTCAACTTAAAAAAAATGTAAAGGTTAAAAAGTGGCACACTTTTGGAAATACTTGGTGGCCAAGGAAAGGTACATAGTAAAAGCTGTAAACCATGTGTGCGTTCTGACTAAACGTGAGGCCACACGAGGGGACAGTACGTCTGTTAAATTCTATAAATTCTTAAAGCAAAAGAGAACACTTTGAAACCCCACCCCCTATTAGTTCTGAGTATTAAAAAGCACAGCTGAACAACTAGGATCTGAAATCTGATCCTGCTCCAAGTACAGGTTTTTGACATTTTTACCCAGCTGTGGGGAATCTCTGCATTGTCAACAGGTACAACGGACGTTTGACCCCATGCTGCAATGTTAACTTTTTAACTTAATAGAATGCCAGGAAAATAACCCAGATCAGCTCTTTCCAGTCGTAAGCCTTCCAGGAAGGCCATCCAAGGGCCGATCAGAACCAGGCCGGTCTTATTCTCGGACAGCAGGAACCTCAGTTCGCATCCCCGCAAGCTGTCTGTTCTTCCCCGTAAGCCCCAGCAGAGAAACCACAGGCTGCCCCCTCCACGGCTGGGCAGGTGTCTAAGACCACGGGACGCTTCTGCATTCACTTTTTTGGGAAGGCTGATGTGTATTAAGATGGGAAAGCTACCACATAGAGATAGCTACCACAAACTGGGTCAGAGGACTGGCCGAGTTTTAACATCTATGAGGTCAAATTCCACATATAACAAAGTGCCTTAGCTACGCGTTTACACAGCAGACCATGACAGGTGAATTCTTCCCAGACGTCTTTACGGCATGTGGAATCCACTGCTTCTGCACGTGTGCCCTCGCCTAAGGGGCCAGTGTGATCCGAGTTGAAAACAGTGAAAATACACTGGTTAATCACGCAAGTCTGCTTGGAAGACAACCGTGACTGGCAAGGCCACCTGCCTGGCACTGCCGAGGTGCACTCGTTAAAAACATCACGAAAAAACTCCGTGTTCGGTGCAGTATCTGATGTCGAGTGTTGGTAACTTGACCATTAAAAGATATTCTGAGCAACCTAAAACGCCAAACTTGCAATGGAAAAGAAATCCACAGCTGGTAATGACCTCTCTTCAGATTGAGAGGCCAGACTGAGAACGACAGAACTGTCAGACCGTGAAGCCATCACTCGGCCTAGTGGGAAGGCCCAGTTACAACACCCGAACCTCCCGACGTACAGCAGGGTTTCTGTCAACGTTAAATCACAGCAGCACGCAAGAAAAACCAGCATCACTGTGAGACAGCTATTTCTAATAACCAAGTATTTATTGGTCTTAAAAGAAAATCATTTTACTGATGTGAAATAGTGATCAAAAGAAATTAGTTTACAAAAGGCTTCTAAAAATAGTTTGAGAGGTGGGGCCTATTGTGTAAAACCCTTCATTTCTTTCATTTTCACTAGTTTACATTTTTTCCCACAAACAGTATTATTATTCACTTGGTTTTTCAAACACATGACAGAAGGAAATTACAGGTTTCCCCACCCACGTCTGGGCTGCCACTACATGCCATGGGCAGTGCTGGCAGCGCCGGGCTCTCGCTGTCACTGTACCACACTGTGTTCAGCACTCCTAGGGACGGTGTAGGTGAGAGTATCAACAGCAACTGCACGACAGGTAAATGATAAAAACAAAACACGGAACAGAAACGAGACCGGTCCCACGATCTCCGAGTTCGCCTGGACTGCGAGTTCTCGGCAACTTCCAAAGGAGAGGACAACAGCAAGAACACCCGAGCTTGGGGTGTCTGGAAGGATGAGGTGGCGCTGCAGAGCTGGGCTCTGCTCAGAGGTGGCAGTGCCATGTGTACACGCCGCCGCCCATGCTGACCGCCTTCAGCACTGGCCTGTGCGTTATGCAACCAACGAGCAGCCTCGCAATCTTACAACTGATCACGTGGACAGTGAACAGTGGTCAACTCTGCCTTCGAAAAATCACCCTCCGAACAGAATGCAATCCTCAGCAGCACCTCGCAATATTCCAAGAACTAAACTTTAAGAACAAAACAGAGATTCAAAATCTATTGTCCTAGTCCTCTGAGAAGACGACGTTTTGGGGTACACTTGGTGGCATTTCCCAGTGGAGTGCCCACTTCAGTGCCCCTTCCGCTCACCTGCACCCTTTCTCCACCAACTGGCCTCCAGCCTGAGGTGGCCAGCAATAAAGAACAGACGGTAAGGCAATCTTACAATGTCAGAAAATGTATTTGGCTTTTTTTTTTCTTTTTAAAATAAGTGCATACAAATACAGCTAGAAGCGTTTCTGATTTGCCAAGTGCTCTAAAAAAGCAGCGCAAGTCACAGCCTACATAGAACGGTAACTGTCACCAGGGTAATAAAGCACAGATATGCCAATAATGTTAACAAAAGAAGAAAATGCCTTTATAAGTACATACCTTTTGTCGTCAAAAAAAATATAGAAACACAATGTATTCAAAAAAATCAGAATTATACAGCCATGTTTATGAAGTCTACATCTCCCTTGTCTTGGATATATATATATGTGGAGGTGTATGTACAATTCAAGCAGTTTTAGTAAGGGTATCAATGGGCTTTCTGAAAGCGCGAAGTCACGAGTCTCTCTCTCTTTTCACCTTCACATCCCCAGCGAGAATGGTTGCGATCTCCCCCTGCATGAAGGCCCAGGGGACACTGGAGCCCACCAAAGGGCACTTCTCCCCACTGGGACAATAGACCTCCCCACTGGCTCCCTGCTGCTTGATGCTTTGTCTGGAGCAAGGGAAGCAGAACTTGTGCGAAGGGACCGACGGGCACTGCACGAAGTGGGTGTCCTCCAGGCGCTCGTGGCAGAGGGTGCAGCACAGGGGGGCGCTGGTCGCCAGAGAGGAGTCCGGGAGGCTGGTGGGATGCGCGGGCTCCAGTCCTCCAGCACTCCCGGCGCCCTGGCCAGAGCCCTCCCTGGGGCCCAGCCTTCTTTGGTTCACAGAGGATGGGGAGGGCGGGCTGCTGCTGTTCCTCCGAGTGGTGGAGTGAACCTGGTTGGCGTCTTTCGTGGTGTGACTGCCCCCCGCATTGTCTGCCACCAAGATCAAGGCTGCCATGGGGGACTGGCCGTTCTGGGCCGCTTCAGGCGGTGTGGTCCGGTTGGAATGAGGCGAGGCAGTGGGTGGCGGTGGAGACACAAAAGAGGATGTGGGCGTCATGGGGATCTTGAGCCCTTCCGTGGACGTGGACAGCCAAGGCTGGGCCTCCCCGTTCATCTTAGGGGGGCCGACTTCACCTTCTGGTTCTGGAGAAGGCTTCCTTTTCCTTGCTGTTCTTGCAACTGGAAAAATAAAAACAAAGGAGAGAGAGGAAAAACACATGGGGTAAACGGATGCGTTGAAAAGGGCCTTTCTCTTACTAAAGTGACCCGAAACCCATCGCACAATCTCTACTCCCCAAAAGCTCACTGGGAAAACACGGGGGTCAGAGTGCAGCTGAGGCACTGGGGCTTGTGGGGCTCGGAGGCAGGAGCACAGGGGCCTAACAAAGCAGAGCCCCGGGAGGCCCCGCCTACGGTTGTCGGTTCTGTTCGGGCCCAGGCATGCATGGACCCCAGTCGGGGCTGTGCACGTGACTGCAGTCCCCCAGCGGGTTAAAAGGCGACTGGCGCCCTCATGGTCCCATGCGAGAATGTGCGGGGAGAGCCAACCCTGCCAGAGCCCGCCTGACTCATCTCTGCCGTGCTGCTTCAGCACATCCACACGCTGCCACCGCGCTGGTTCCGCCTCGGCGGGCCAGGAAGCGGTGCCTGCTGTCCCTGGGCTGGGGGGGCCGGCGCCGGCGACGCGCCACCCTCTTCTGCTCCGCGACCCCTCGCCCCCGTCCCCCTCGCTCCACAGCCGCCCCTACCTGCTTTAGACCCGCTGGCCCCGCGGGCCCCCA